AGTGGGTAGACTGACCCTGGCTGTGTGCAGGTACGCCCACTGCCCCGGGCTGAAAGTCGTGAGTCCGTGGAACGCCGAGGACGCCAGAGGTCTGCTGAAGGCCGCCATCAGGGACGACAACCCCGGTGAGTGGGTCCACTCAGGCTCCACTCAGGACGGCCATTAGGACCCCACAGGCCCCGGAGAGAGACTAGACCTGGTCAGAGCTAAGATTAAGGTTTAAAAACGGCCTTTTAAACTAAACACAGGTCATTAAATGGAGCAGGAGCAGGTCTGGAGAAGGTAAAAAAGAGAGAAACATCCAGCTATAAATCAGTTTTTTTTTTTCTATTTGTGCAGAATTCTCCACTAAGGGTAGACACAGATGCCCAAAAAATGAGCCAAATATAGCTAATATAGCTAATAGAGCCAATATAGCTAATAGAGCCAATATAGCTTATAGAGCTAATAGAGCCAATAGAGCTAATAGAGCCAATATAGCTAATAGAGCTAATAGAGCCAATAGAGCTAATAGAGCTAATAGAGCTAATAGCGCCAATAGAGCTAATAGAGCTAATAGAGCGTCTTAAAATGTTTGCTCTAACAGTTTGTGACTGTTTTAAAACGATAACTTCCTTTTCCCCCTCCATTCGTGGCATTTGCCCCCGTAAGGCTTTCAATTAACTCCAGATTCCACTCATATTTCTGCTTTTGCCCTCAGAAAACACCTGAAAAAGCTCTTACAAATACAAACGATGGAACACTTATACTTCAACTGGTTTATAATATAAAATATTATTATAATAAGCACTAATTTTCTCTTAATCAGGTTTAAGGGGACCCTCTTTATTGGGGTTTTCTGGATAAATACTCTAAGCTATTATCTTTTATCCCTCATCTGTCTGAGTGACATTAGGGGACAAATGTGGGCGGAGCCTCTGCAAACTTAAGGAGCTTTATGAACATTTACAATGCGGTTATTTCTCTGAGTTGATCGATGTGCCTTTTTGTGTGGCAGGATCAATCAAACGGAGGAAGAATATGCAAAGATATTCAGCTCGGTGAACGGGTGAGTCTCTTTATTCTGCTCTTCTTTGTCTGGATAAGGAGTCAAACAAAAAAATGGGTCTGGTGTTGTAAAACTATAACAAAACTTGTTTTTTTCTCGTGGAAAATTGACCAATTTGTGGCTCTTAGAAAAAAGGCTCAGGGTATTTAAATGGTTTTTATATCAAATACATGCAAAACAAACAGGGAATCAACCAAAAAAAGTTTTGGTTTTAAATCCATGTTATCTATCAGTTTATCATCATTTTTCTGAAATCGTTCGAGGCATGGCAGGGTTGCGCCGCCAAGCGAAAGGAACTGAAAACTTTAAAAAAAAAACTTTATTGACAGTACTTAACTTACAGGCAACAACAACAATGACAACAACAGTAAAACAAAACAAAAAAACAAAAACAAAAAAAACAGGCTGCTCTTCTCTGTTTGGAAAGCTGGGAGATAACTGCTGTTGGGATGTGGAGCTATAGAAACAAAATTGAATTGAATTTATAGAGAAATATAGAATCTATTTTCTTCACAGCTGTGTTTTTTTCTGGTTAGCACAATGTAGAGCCCATTAGTTCCTATAACAATATAAGAGCTTATTCCTCTAAAAATTTTTATTAATTCCTATGACAAATATCTTAATGAATTCCTATTAAAAAAGGAATTAATTCTGTTAAAAGTATAATCATTCCTGTAACAATATAATAATTAATTCCTATAAAAAATAGTTGGGCTTCTGTAAATAACTCAGAGTCTAATTCAGATCTGCTCTGTGTGGATACCTGTTGTTGGGATGTGGCGCTATAGAAATAAAATGTAATTTTATAATTTAAGTTAATCTAATATAATCTATTCTAATTTAATCCAATCTAAATTTATTGAATTTTATTTTATTTTATTTTATTTTATTTTATTTTATTTTATTTTATTTTATTTTATTTTATGTACCACTGGGATAGGCTCCAGTTCTCCCCCTGACCCCATTAGGGAATAATCGGTATTGTTGATAATGGATGGATGGATTATTGAATGTTATTGGTGTGGTTTTCGGCCTCTTGGGGGTCCAGTTTGAACCTGTTGGATGGGAAAGCCTAACCCTAACCCTAACCCTAACCCTAACCCTAACCCTAACCCTAGTTCCTGGTACTCTGTCTCCAGGCTGCTGCTCCCCGGGGGGGATGTGGACCTGCAGACGTCCGAGTTCAGCCGGGCCTCCCGGATCCTCTACAACATGGCTCTGCGGGTACAGAATTATAATAATAATATCCTACAGTAACCTGTAGGAGCCTCGGGTGGATATCCAACTCCGCCCACATCCAAGTCGGCCATTTTGATTTGGTCATGTGACTAGCAGCTTTCTGAGGTGGAAACGAAACTTTTCTGTCTGTACGAAACCGGAAGATAAACGATGTCCTGACCCTAAACCTAACCC